AATCTACAAACCTCAGACAAGTTCTGTAGCTGTGACTACACAACAGAAACTTTCCCGTCTGTAAAAATCCAGTCTGTCAGCAAAACGTGGCTGCACAGTGGAAAAGTCAAACTGATTGAAAAACAAGACAGCTAAACTCACCTTAGCGACTGCTGTAAACTTCCTTGAACGGCAGAGAGCAAAATTAGAAGCAAAGCACCTAAGACAGAGTTCACCAAAGTCTCTGCATGCATGTTTAGATCCCCACCAGAAACCTGAAGTGAAGTGCCTTCAGGAATTTCCACTTTCTAAAACAGAGGGAGAACGGGCTGGCCAAATCCAGCTCGAACGCTTCAGAGGCCAACAGTGCTCTCCATATGAATGTCTTTGATTAGTTGTGACTCTCGGTGCAAAGGCAGGAGTAAGAGATAAAGTGCCAATAAAGAAAACTTTATCACCATAATTCAAAACAGTTGTTCATAAAGATGCTTAAAAAGGGGATTTGCTATACCAATCATTATAAAAACAGAACATAAAATATGAAATGGAGACAACTGGTTATGAAACAACAAAAACTCTTTCGAGACTGTTTTAATGAGCTTGAATCTCTTTCACTGTGATTGAATTATCTGTTTTATGCTAATATTTAATCATATTGCTAATATTTTTTCCAACACAATAATAATGAGCAACATTAAATGAAGATTCCGGGGGAATATATTAATATCAAGCTATTCCCAGATTTATATGATCCATCTAGTTCAATGGCTGCAATCCACTTTCCATTAATAAATAATTATTTGAAATAAAAATGAAATATGAAATAAAATAGTTATAGTTGCAGACACCTAGCCTACCAAGCAATATGGCTCTTCCTGACAAATTAACATACAGTAAATGTATTAAGCATAATCCGACGAATCAAATGACAGCAGGTTATGACCTTTTGATTAGGCTAAATTATTTATCCATTTTTTATAACAACTTAACAAGGACCTTAGAGCAAAAATAAGAACCCAGGTTCGTTTCGATTGAGAAAAGGATTGGAAAGGTGCATGAGCACTTCCTGCTTGCAATCTTGTGAGTCTGAAGATTAGCTTGTAAATGGTCTTGTAGGCTGTAGCTAAATACTTATCGCGCCTCTACTGGGAGCTTTGTACATAAACGGTTTGTTCGGTAATTAAAGAAAAAGATTCACATTTTACAAGCGAATTTACTCCTCCCCCAAAAATAGAAAACTACAAGGTACGTGTTTTCACGTATTCAAGCGCTGTCTCATTGATTCAGCTCGGTGATCTCGAAATCCATACATTAGCCTACACTCAAGAGGGAGCGAGCAATCGGGGCTTATGAACACAAACAAAACACGCCGCCCCTAGACGGTGGTCCAGACGACATTTCGATCCGATGTTATTTTGGTCAAAAACAACTTTAAATGTTTCTATGGTGAAATTGGGGTAAACTGGTTAAATAGCCGTAATCCACGTTTACAGCTGTGAGAGTCAAAACACTGCTATGGTTATCACGTAGCCTAACTATCAGTTAACGCCATTTCAGCACTGACTTCTGTTTACCGTACACATGCTGAACGATAATTTAGAGGATTAATTAACTTCCACATTTAAATAAGGTTGCAAAATCTTGTGCTAGCCTATGCTTACAGGCATTATTGCAGTATTAGTTATTCAAATCCTTTTTCAGTAGCATTTTAAACTGTAATAGAGACTGCATGAAATAGCAAATTTGTTAAAAGTATCATACAGAAATATCAAAAACGTCTTCCAAACCAAATTATTATCCATTCATTAAAAATGAATTTGAATTATAAAAGTCTAACATTTAAAAGATGTGACAACCTGCCCCATATAAAAATGTCTCAACATTCCACTGACAATTATTAAAAAGCAACCTCCAGGCAAATAGTAGGCTACCCCTTTAATCCTTCCACCCTTGACTTCTGGCATTTCCGATGATGAGGAATGAGAATTAATATTATATTTAATATTAATTGTTTTGCTGTTACATTATTATTGCATTTGTTAGATGTTTTAACTGAAAAAAAATTGGGTAGCCTAATTGGAGTTTTCACTCAAACACATTCAATAGTTTCTATAATAGCTCTTGTGACAACTAGTCCCGGTCCATATCTATATTATTTACATTTACATTTAGTCATTTAACAGATGCTTTTATCCAAGACGACTTAGAAATGAGGACAATAGAATCAATCAAACCAACAAAAGAGCAATATGTAGTGCTGTGACGACAAGTCCCGGTCTAACTTATTATTAGCTGTTATTTATTATTTCTTATGGTAATTTCAGGATAAGTTGATATAGCCAATATTAGTTGTTTCTGTTATTATACTATTCAAAGCTGCTTATTCAAGGACGTTTAACTGTGACTTAAAATTCAATTTCAGATTTCAAAGTGTTTCAATTCAATGACATTGTATCTGCATTTAACATTCATTAAAATAATAACAAACTTGTTTATGTCAATACTGATATTACACATGTGAAGGCCTGCGGGATCTCATCCTGCTTGCTGTGCTGGAGCGGGTCACGCGCGTCCGGTGCGCATCTGTCGCGCGGCTGCTGTGCATGAAGCTCGAGCACAGTACAACGAGTCATGGATTATACACCGCGTTAACGGCGATACTGCAACAACCAGTAAGTCCCAGAGCGTTTTTCTGTCGTTTCGACATGTGAATTCGACTAGAGTGTCAGATAATTGATGTCTTTTGTTTTATTTGGCTTGTTTGCACGTCTACCAGGAAGTGTATGCAACCGACTACGCAGTCAAAAGGCCTTTGTTCAAAAATTCAGCGCTGTCATAGATTGAAACCCTTTTCGGATACGCTTGTGACAAATTTAGACAGTAATGCACACAATGTCATAATCGATATGCCTTTATGTTTTATGTAATTCGTGTGTTTTCTTGAAAAAGATTATTTAGCAAGAGCTATAGCGGCAGCAGCTCTGCTCTCATCTGTTGCCATGGTAACCCTGCAGCAGCAGGAGGAATCTCCCTGCACGATGCTCAAGTATCATGACTGATGTCACTGTGTCCCGGTGTGCCACGTAGCCTCAAGTATGCTGACATGATTTAGAGTCAGTTTTGCTTTTAATTGTGATACATTTTTGAAGACAAGTGGCTTTTGGCAGTGGTCTGTAAAAATGGAGGTCTTGTGTTGAATATCTGTCTATGTAAATAACAGAAGCAGGGTGTTTATTGCATAATAATATGGTGTTATTTGGATCAACCTAAGATTGCTGATGTGGATCTGAAAATGGCTAGGTGGTTGTTGGTAAAAACACAGAACCGAGATGCTGAGCATGAAGATAGACAGACAATATTTATTGTCTTAATATTTATTGATTTAATTTTAGGGAGTCCCCACCAGGAGTTATGTAGCAACCAGTTTCATAAACAATATTTGCCCACTGAGATTGACTTTCTTTCTTTCTTTCTTTCTTTCAGTAAACAATAACCTATCCTATCAGAACAAATGCTTTGCTAAATTAGATTATAATTTTACAGTCTCTTCTGCATGTTTGATTATACTGTCATACTATTTTTATGAAATGGATGTTGCAGGTTTGTAGAGTTGTTTGGAGTGTTTTATTTAATAATTTCAGACTTATTTTAGGATTTTTCTTTCTCTCCATGGAAAAAAAAAATCGCATTACCGTAACATTCAGTGAGATGAAGACCCTATGTGTAGACCCTATGTCCTATGTAGGGTCTCGGGCCGTAGGCAGGGAAACACTCTGGATGGATGGCTGGTATGACTAGGTCTATGTCTACAAAAAAATAATATACAATATATATGGGGCAAAAATATACCATGGGGCAAATTTACAACACATTTAAAATATCTGTGGCATTTTTTTTAAAAATCATTTTTGCCCTCAGCCCTGGTTAATTTTTGACCCTGGTAATGGGTTTGTTCAAAATCAAACATGAACAAAAAGTAATATTATTCTGGTTATTAGTGCTGTACAAATTAATAAAATGAATACAAATTTGATGCATTTTTGTATTTTGCATATTTTTACAGGTAAGTATTTACACATTCACAGAGAAATGTGTAAATATTATCCATTAATTTGGAGTTCATTGCTTTTCTGTCTCTATTTTCTGTAGTTCTTATACATAATTTGAATCAAAGGAAAATATGAAGTTGGGATTGGATATCCAATCTAATCAGTTGTTCTAAACTGTATACTGCTTTATATTCTGTAGCAAATTTTAGCAGCAAAAGCCTTTGGGGCAATAATTACTGTATCCTTCTCATAGCCTATACAATATAATCTAAAACACAAACTGCATATGTAACAAACGAGCCTAAAATCTCACGACACCAGCCACCATTAAAGTGTTTAGTGATTACATCCTGCCTTTAGGCAAATAGTCCTTTCTGTAAAAGTGAAACTAATTGTAGTCTTCTGCAACTTACTCCTACATTACTGCACTTACACCCTGTAATTTTGTTTTCAGTTGTCTTCGAGCCTCTATCCATCAACATATGCTAACTGTAGCAATTACTTTGCAAATTGCCTGACTGTGACTACATAGAAGCTGTTCTGCAGAGACCACTATGTTCTTGCCATAAATGTAAAAACTTTTAAGATTCAACTTTCCATTTTTAGGCTTCAAGTTGTATCAAATGTTTTTACTTGCAGACATCACAGATTTTAAATGTGAATCTTGCCATTGTTCTGAACTGACCTTTGAATGACCTTGATGTAGTGTAATTTATGTTACATCTGACTTTGAAATGTTTACCAACTCACTCTGGAAAAGCTCTGAAAAACCTGGTCATGTTATATACGATGTTTGACGCATGAAGGCCTGCCTGACCTTACTGGACATGACAGTTTGCAGGATTTGTTCCTTTTGTATTGATATCACATGTAAAGGTCAAGTTTTCAGCTGTTGTGTGATGCAGCATTCATTGACGCAACTCTTTTATAAATAAGAATAAAAGGCTAATGATGTTCTTGCAGGATAGACCTCAACTCCTCCGATCAGCTGTCTTTCGTGTTGAATTCAATTCCTCTCTATGCCGGGGATGAATGCACCAATGAGGAGCCTGACCGTGAGTAACCTGGTCCCACAATCCCATCCGTCCATGACTCCGCCACTCAGTGTTGCATATATGCCTTGTCTGATGTGGTGGACATTATTTGTCGATATAATTGTACCCGTTTGGTACACCATATGCCATGTTGACTAACTGTTGTGTGTTATTTACAGGGTATGCCTGATCGCATGTTATGTGCAGTGCTGGAGCAATTTCAGCTTTACTTTTCCCGTTGGTATGTGCGCTTTGTTTAAGTGAGTTTGTGATATCCATGTTTTATTATTGTCCTCGGTAAGAATGGCTCTAGTGCCAGTATTATGCAGTCTCATTATCGGTTGCCTGTCGTTTGTGTTACGCTGAAGATCCATTGTGATCTTTGCAGAAGGTAAGTAGGTATTTCTATGTCTAGTCAACAGTCTGCGTTTTATGTACGTCATTTGCTTGATTGCGTTTAATGGTGGCTGTGCAACACAACGATACATAATGTCTGGTACCATACAGAGCTGTGTCCTCATGTCGTACTGTACAGCCACAATGAACACATAGCTCAAATCTGTTTGCATGTTGTAGTTACTAGATGTTTCTTTGCTTAGGACTTTTGATAAGACACTTCCTCTGAGGTGTTTTTTATACCACATAATTATAGTAATAATTAGCATGTATCCTGTTGTAAGCTTTTTATTATTTTGCTAAATTAAATTTTGTAATGTAAGTGCTTACAGCATGTATAGAGTTAGCATCTAATAAAGAATAAATCTCATGGCTACAAACAGATTTGAGCTTTGGCTGATGTGTGGTTTAAGTTAGCATTTGTGGTCGATGTGCTTTTGTCTTCCAGATCCACTCTCTCTATAGCACAGCGAGCCCAAGCATGCTGAAGAGGAAGCAGAGCTCGCGGGTCGAGGCCCAGCCCATGACCGATTTTGGGCCAGATGAAACACTGACAGACAGTGCTGACATTCTTTGGATCAACAAACCAGTATGTGAACAAATCTCTGAAACCTTACCATGTGGCTGTTCTTCACAATAATTTGTGACCCGTACATACTCACAAAAAAGATACTTGACAAGCTAAAACCTTGTCCTAACTAGGTGCAATTTCATACAATAGGGCATACATTTTTTTACTTTATTACTTACTATTATTATTTTGCCAGATCATATATCCACCTTATTTTTTTAGCAGGGAAGCTATTTCCTGTAAATGTGCAAGACTTCATAATTGGCTATAGGTAAATAACTAGACGAATAAGAAAGTGCAGTAAACAGTAAAACTGTTGGTGCTACAAGATTTACAAATACCATAACACATTAAAATAATATGATTACAAATGATAGTTTGCAAAATCAATCAGCATAACTTATATAGCACACAAATCACAATAGACACTATACTCTCTGTCAACAAAAGCTGTCACCTGTGGCAGTACCCTTTTAAAATGTACTAATATATACCATTTAGGTACAAATACTATATGTACATTAGGGGTGTGCGATATTGACAAAAAATTATATCTCGATATTTTATGGGATTTTATCGATAACGATAATTAGACGATATTTTGCTGAGTGTGTTATTGTGCTGGTACCTTAAGGACTGCCGAAGACAGCTGACTCCTAATGTTTTTAATATTCTTCATATTCTGTGTGGTGGTCAGTTCATACTGATAAGTACTGAAATCCAATAAGTTTAAACTGATTTTTGCATTTTATGGGGCATTTTTACCGTTATGTTTTGAATGGTTTTTGCAAAATACTCGATAATGTCAAATCGCACATCGTTAAAACAACAATTACGATATTATCGCAGACGATATATATCGCACACCCCTAATGTACATTAATATGTATCTTTAAGGTATTAATATTCACCCTTTGGGGTAAATAAGGTACAAAAGTGTACCTTTTGCAAGGGAACCATCCCAGTGACAGTTTTTGTACTGTTTTTTTCTGAGAGTGTATCCACTCTGTTAGGAAAAGGTACACAACTGAAACCATGAGGATGTTCCACACTCTAAAACGAATTGTTCTTTGTCCTTAGTGGGTGCATTCTCTCCTGCGGGCCTGTGCCATAATTAGTGTCATTTCGGTGTGTATGAATACACCTAAGACCTTTGAGCACTACCCGCCCCTGCAGTATGTCACCTTCGCCCTGGACACGCTGCTAATGTTCCTCTACACTGCAGAGATGATCGCCAAAATGCATATCAGGGGCATCATCAAGGTAACACACTCAATCAGCATTGTCACGATTTATAACGGAAATAGGATGAGGAAAAAAGACTGTCCTTTGGAAGTGAATAAAACGGGCAGGTGGCTAAATAGTGTCTGGACAGTTTAATTGGTGAATCAAGGATAACAACCGCACAGAGAGACATTGAATAAGTGAATCATTTGCTTCCTGAACCTGCGAAGAGATGCCTGGAAATTTCTTCATCTTTCTTCTGGCAAGGAAAGCAGTAAGGTTTATGTAGAAGATAGAGTAATTAATTTGTTCCTTTAGACCTGAGATTGTGTGAGGACAGGGTGATTAACCTTGCAGCAATTATATGCGAAGTTAACACATGCATTTTAATTTTATTGAAGGAGAGTAACTCACAGCATTATTATACTGGTGACAGTGACCTCAACTGAGTTAATTAGGCCAGTATATTTGTTTTGTATTTCCTTCTCTTGAGTGCATGTTATGATCTGTGAAATTCAGTGACTTCTTGTTTTCTTTATCACTGTTAGCAGGTACATTTTTGCCATTAGGTATATTCTGGACTCGGAGACAGCATTAGTTGCTAATGCAGTAGTCTAAACATTGAATTAATGTAAAAAATTAATTATCTGTTGTGAATTAGGCAATCTGTTTTCATCTTAAATAACTGATTTATCAGCATAAACAATATTCCAAATTCAATCTCTGCCAGTTGCTGTTAATAATGTCAGTTAATAACCAAACCTTCACACAGTTTTTAAGCTATCCATTTAATAAATCATGTTTGTGGCCAATGTGAGATCTGAGCACCATAGCTGATCAGATGCTCTGAAATCCCAGGAGATTTCTGGGCAGATGTCTTGGGAGAACAAGTGCTTCAACCACTGAAGTATCTGTCTCTCTATCAAAGAAAAGCCACCAGTTTGTGAAGACAATCTGCACTCAAGCAAACAAAGCTGAGCATGTCACACCTCTGATGTCATTACCTGTGCACCTGCTGCATGTGTGAATAGCTAGTTGACATGACAAACCCTGTGGTGTGACATGCTGTGTGACATGCAGCAATTTATTTAAAACAAATCTTTAATGACCTTATATGTATTGAGAGAATATATGGAATATTTGTATGTTCAAATAAAAAGTATAAATATATGATATACTACCATTCAAAAGTTTGGGGTCAGTAAGATATTTTAATGTTGAGAGTTTTTTTATACTCACCCAGGCTGCATTTATTTGATTAAAAATACAGTAAAAACAGTAATATTGCTATTTTTTTTTTTACTTTTTGTCACATGATTCTTCAGAAATCAATATGCTGATTGAAAACAGTTGTGCTGTGTAATATTTTTTTGTGGAAACCATGATACATTTTTTTCAGGATTCTTTGATAAATAGAATGTTCGAAAAAAGAATGTTCAAAAGAACATTTGTTTGAAATAGAAATTAATTAGAAACATTATGAATAAATGAATGAATGAATCATAATAGGACTATTTAAAATGAACTTGTGAAAGCTTAAAAGAAATGCTTAAATGTAACCAGTAACATGAATGAAAATATATGGGCATGTAATGCATCCACTACCTGAATATAAAGGACTCCTGTTTTTGTTTTTTTCATTATTATTTACTCTGTTCTTTGTGTGCTTTACCACTAGAGACATAGTTTGATAGTTCTCATTGCATATATTTTTTGTACCATGTTTAGTTCTTCTAGGTACTTAGGGCACACACTTGTTAGGCAATGTGAAGTGCTCACACTTCTGTTTGCTGAATTTTGCCTGCTCTGTTGTTAACAGCTGCCACAATCTTTCATTAAACTGGCGGACCAGCTGCCACTCACCTGTGGACTTTCATTTACAGCCTGTGTCTTATCACCTGCCTCTGTTTCCAGGGAGAGAACTCCTATGTTAAAGACCGCTGGTGCATGTTTGATGGCTTTATGGTGGTCTTCCTCTGGGTCTCTCTTGTGCTTCAGGTAAGGAGATAACTGTATCTTCAGTGTTAATTTTTAAAATAAATTGTTCCTTTCAAATAAAAAGAACTGAGCTCATAGGGAATTCCGCTCATCCACTTGTTCTTCTGAATGGTCTCAAGGTGTTTGAAATAGCAGAGATTGTGGACCAAATGTCACCCTGGGGAATGTTACGTATACCGAGGGCCCTCATTATGATCCGAGCCTTTCGAATCTACTTCCGATTTGAACTGCCGCGTACCCGCATAACCAACATTCTCAAGTAAGAGCCCCATGAGCGCAAAGAATGTGAGAAATGTCAGCTTGTTTCCATATCAGCCACTTAAAATTCACTTCCTTTCAGACGGTCAGGGGAGCAGATCTGGAGTGTGTCCATATTTTTGCTCTTCTTCCTGCTCCTGTATGGAATCCTGGGGGTTCAGATGTTTGGAACCTTTAATCATCACTGCGTCACCAATGATACACAGAAAGGGTAAGCAAGTTTCATCACTATTCTCTTTAAACAATGGAGCCTGTTGTTACCATGGAATAAAAATTAAAAAGGTAATTTGATGACTTGATATCTCATAATTCTGACTTTTTTCTCAGAATTGTAAGATATAAATTCCTTGAGATTACATCTCACAATTCTGCATTTATATCTCACAGTTCTGACTTTTTTTCTCAGAATTATGATTTTACATCTCGTGGTTCTGTTTTTTCTTTCCGCCACAAAATAAAAAAGATAATTGCAACTTTTTATCTAATTTTAGTTTATTTATTAATATTAAGTTTATTTCTGCTTTGTTTATATCTCTCCGTTCTGAGAATTGTGAGAAAAAAATGTCAGAATTGTGAGATATAAACTCATAATTGAAGAAAAAGGTCTGAATTGTGAGATAAAGACTTATCCCGTGGCAGAAAAAAGTTTCTATATTAAATCCAATAAAATCAGCTCTCTTAGATTTAACTTAATAGCCCAAGAAGTTACGAACTTCTCTTTTTGTGGTGAGCTTTATCACACTCCTTGTGGTTTATAATCCCTGGGATGAATCAGGGGATTTAACATTATGCTGCAGTTTTTCCTGGCATCAGCGCAAGATAAGAAGTATGCGTCTGTTGCTGTACACCTCCTACACACATCTGTTCTTTGGAATATAAATCCCATCAGCAGCTGTAAACGGTACTAATAACAGATCATCATTTTCATCATGTGAAGTCACGGCCTCATAAACACTAAACAGTATGAACAGCCACATTATATGATATGTTTGTCTGAATTTCTCATTTCACATGGAGGTGCTTGATAAGGCAACAGAAATTCATGGCTAAAAATGAACAGTAAATCTTGCTGGAACACTCGCACACATCCCAACTTAAGGGCGTGACGAAAGCAGGGTTGAGCGCAGTCTTAATGCAGTGTGTGTATGGAGCTGTGGAGGTGGTTCTCTTTTAAAACCCAGGCCTATTTAATATTCCCTTGCAAATGAGTGGCGTGTCAGAGCCGGCTCTAAAACAAAGAGTCTATACCATCAGCAACAGAGGAGTGTGCTGAGCACTAATCACAATAATTAACGTTTCCTGTGTTGCCTGGGTGTCGTGCACATGCTCGCCTCTTTTCAGCAACCTGGCCTAAATCCGTCTATGTACATGAGAGAAAAGAGCTCCTATATTGCAAGATATCTCACCCCGACCCTGCACTGACATTCAACATATTATCAATCAAAAGGGGTTAGGCACGGTAAAAAATATTGCCTGCCATATAATATATGTATACTATGTATACGGGCAGGATTTTCATGCATCATGCAAGTGGAAGTGTATTTCAGAAAAACTCATTGTTGATTATCTTGCAGAATTTACAGTACGTGTCCTAGGCACAGAGTAGCAGGGATTTGAATCTCACAGGGATTCAATGGAATAAATGTGCAAGGGAGTTTACCAGACTTGTGTCTGTTGGGGATACATTTTTAGATTTGATGTCACAACGTTTTATTTTTCAGGTGCTTAAATATGGATGAAAACAGGCCTCATGACCTTGCCGATCATCACCTTGTTCAGAAAATGTCCCACATATTTCTCTCAATTATAGACATAGGCTACAGCATGTTATGACAGGTGATCAATATGATACAATCTCTTTTTCTGTCTCTAAGCCATTTAAGTGTACAATATTTACTAATAAAACCATTTTTTATTTAAGTCATAGAGAAAAGAAGAAATATTAATCAAAAGGCATGTCCATTTTCAAATAAAATGGATACTTTATGGTATTCTTTTGAGTTGTGTTTGTGATCAGTTTCTTCACAGGGATGATCTCTTCGGCGGATTATTTATCACTGTATAATTAGAGCTATTTTGATTCACTGCTGTGCCTCTGATTGGCCTTTGTGATACTGCAATTTCACTGTTTTCTACTGTAAAATATCTGAACACCCTTAAAACATTAACATTTATTAAACATAAATTGAGAGCTTAAATGCATAAGACATTAAGACTTGTTTTCAGACAATATATATTAAGTTTATTTTTTTTTATCATTTGGCAAAGAGTGTTTAATGCGTTTCATGTTTAAAACAAGAAGAAGAAAAAAACAATGAAGATAATTTAATTTAATAGATGCTTCCTGAATGTAAGTCTTCTCAAATAAATGTTTTATTAAAATCTTGTTTTATTAAAATCAAGACACAAATACAGTAAGTGTGTGTGTGTGTGTGTGTCAACGAGAAAAACACAAAAACAGATTTAAACAAAATTGTGTTTCTCTTATAAACTTTATTTCTTTTAATTTTATTTTAATTGTGTACAGCATTAAATTATGTAGGGCAAATGTGAACTCAAAAATAGTTTTAGCTGTTGACATTACTGAAATTGGATTCCCTGGGGCTTAGTGTGGGACTTAGCATGGGACTAGTAAAAAATGTCATTATTTTATGTGTTTTAGAGCAAGTATTAATGTAAGTAATTAATATTATATATAATATATAGTATTAAATATAGAATACACCAGATGGCCTGTTACAAAATAATGGTTAATTTGATCAGATTTAACATTTGATGATGATTCTTTGAAAACACACTCTGGTCTATTTCTAGTAATGTGACATGGAACAGCCTGGCGATCCCTGATACACACTGCTCTCCGAATGGGGAGGGTTATCAGTGTCCGGCGGGGTTTAAGTGTGTGGATCTGGAAGACTTGGGACTCAGCAGACAAGAACTTGGATACAGTGGCTTCAATGAGCTTGGTGAGTCATTGCGATGCTTCACATTTGTCCATCTGCCATGATAAAAATGTTTGTATATATTAGTTTATATTATTTATATTATTATTATTTTTTTATTATTATCTCTCTCCAGTTTGCACCTGGAAAATTTGTACTGCTGTTACTAAAAATCTAATATTATGAATATAAATATTATGAATTATGAATATCATTGAATTATTTCCTTAAAGCCAGATTGGACACCAGTGGCATACACTAAAATCATTATCTCTGGCCTTTTTTACTTGGTTTAGTTTTAGTTGTCTGTGGAAAATTATATCATCTTTGCCCTTTGTAATTATTCACAGTGACTAAGTGTGATTAATTGTAGCATTGTTGGCTGAAGCGTTTTCAGTTGATGTATGCATTATGTGCAAGCAAACGTAAACAGATAAATGCCCTCTGTCGCTGCATTTAGGAAATGTAATATTAGCTTATATTACAAAACATCGTGAAGGCAGCTTCACAAATAGACCAGTTTATTTAAGCACCTTGATCTGTACGAAGCAGCATTCCATATTTGTATCGCTCCCATTTGAGATAAATCCTCTAGAAAGGTACACAGAGCAGTGCCACTAATCTCCAAATAGCCATGAAGTGAGGCTTTTCCCTAAAAAACAGTTTTGAACAGGCTTTGAACCATTGACTTACAGAACATTGAGATCTGCGAAAGGGCCCTTCTTCGTCCTCTTTATAGAGTTCAGTACACAGATAAGTCATGTGTAAGTCAACCAGAACCGCTCCTGCATCAGTGATCTGTCGTCCATTCATCCGTGTTCACAGTGTGGTTTGCAGCCTCAACAACAATGCATTTTTTGGGCTTCCAAGATTCAGGGATGCAGAAACATAAAGTATGATTGGGAAAAAGTCCAATGTCAGGGTTAATATATTTTCTTTTTCTGCTGTTCCTTTTGGACTGCCAACATTTTCACTGACCCCACCACAAAATTAAGTCCCGTGTTTTTTTATTTTTTTTTATTTAAACAAGTTAATTATTTAAATTCATCTATTTTAATTACATTAAAACTCTCCTTTTGTTGGCTTTGATTTAATTAAATTTATTTAAAACTATTAACTGAGTTGTAGGAACGAGTCAAATCTTTTGGAATACTAGTGTTTCAGGATTGCTGAGCTATTGTCTTTTTTTCTTAGAAATGTAAGTCTTAGTATACTTTCTTAGGTCATTCAGGATGAAATGGGAATAGAGTTTATTTTTCCCTTTTGTTAGGCATCTCTGGACACAGTGATTTATCCCTAAGTGATTTTTAATGGGAGTCCTTAGTTTGCCAAGTGCATTTCCCTCTAATTCTTCCAGGGAAAGACTCTGTTAATGTTTATACTGAAGTATGTACTTTATCTAATGTGAATTACATATTGATTTAACACAGTTTTGTGAGAAAGCCAAGTGAAATAGTGTATTTCATTAATATAGGTCCTGTAAAGTATATGTTGTATGATTGGTGAAGCTAACCTTCCCTAAGCCTAAGACCCTACAGGACTCTGCCAGTGTCCTTGGCTCATTTTGCCCCTGGACCTGGTGGGAAATGGCAGGAAGCAGAACTGAGTGGCATGCTTCCTGCTGGCCTTTGGCAGCCATATCGCAGCACGGCATCATGGGTCACCGTGAGTGCAGAGATAACATTATTGAGGGCGTGGAAGTAGAGAGCACCTCATGTACTTTGTGTATGAAATAAGTAAATTGTTTATGGTGTATATGCTGTACAAGTAACAGTGTTATTTTAGTATTATTTATATACTACTATAGTATCTATTAATATTTTGAATTAAGTTTTATTAGAATATTTATAAAAAGTATATTGAAATTTTGGTTTTAGTAATTTTGTTATGTGATGGTGCCATAATGACATTCATCCCTATTCATTTTTAATTGTATGGAAAAGACAATGAAATAAAAAAATAGCTAAACATCTTCTTTTGTATAACACAGGGTTTGGAACAGTGTGAGGGTGGCTAAATAACAGAATTACTAAATAATACTGTAAATAACAACAGACTATTCATTTAAGTTCCTTGGGAATGTGTCCTCTTTCCTCTCATCTCTTATGAAGAAATCACACTTGTATGATTAAAAAGACGTAATACAACATAGCCATGAAAGCAATCTGTCCGTAAGTGTGTAGTTCTTCATTTAGCCTAGTTCCTTTGATTCACAGATAGTGTTACACTCCAGCACAACATGGAACCAAAGCGTACTTCAGAAGTCAGAATAACCATCTCATTCAGCTGTTTGGAGAGAGAAATGCATAGCTGGGCAATAGGAAGCACCTGACAAGGTTCACTAATGCCAAGACTGTGTTTATGTCTGAATTTTTGTGTCACAGTGCCCATTCGGACCACTCCGGGGGCACAAGAACATCTCAGACATGGGCTTCTCCCCTTCCTCTGTCTTCTCATGTCCCCGTCATGACCCTACTTGTCATCTCCTCTTGCAGGCACCAGTATATTCACTGTATATGAGGCTGCGTCTCAGGAGGGATGGGTCTTCATCATGTATCGAGCCATTGACAGCTTCCCACGCTGGCGCTCATATTTCTACTTCATCACGCTCATCTTCTTCCTTGCCTGGCTGGTCAAGGTGGAAAAATCCTTTTCTTCTCACACCAGCAATCTGCAAAAACTTAGTCATAATCTGCAGATGGGTCCTCCTTCATTTCTAGACATAGAAAAGTGAGGGTTATTCTAGGTGTCTAATATATTGTGTTATATTATATATTGGGCCTTAAAAATTTTATTTCAGTGCAGTTATTGTGTGCATGCTCTACCAGTCAGAAGTTTGGGATCAGTAAGCTTTTTAAAGGTTTTTGAGATAAGTCCCTTATGGTGTGTTCACACCAGACGCGAAGCGAATATGCGCATCGCGTATGTGAACACACTGGCTCGCCAAAGCTGCATTTATTCGATCAAAAATACAGTAAAAACAGAAATATTATTACATTTTAAAACAACTGTTTTCATATTATTTTAATATATTTTAAAACATAATTTATTTCTGTGATGGCAAAGCTGAATTTTCAGAAGTCATTAGTCTTCAGTCACATGATCCTTCAGAAATCATAATAATATGCAGATTTGAAACATTTCTTATTATTATCAATATTGAAATGTTGTGCTGCTTAATTTTTTTTTTTTTTGGAAACTGTGATTCTGTGTTTCTTTTTTCAGGATTCTTTAATGTATAGAAAGTTTGAAATAACTGCATTTACTTGAAATAGATTTTTTTATTTGTTTTAAATGTTTTTACTATCACTTTTAATCATTTTAATCATATTTGTGTCACGATACGCATATCCATAGAACACAGGGGAAATCCATACAATAGGCGCAATGCACACACACGTACACAACGAGTATACCCGACGAAGAACTAAGGAACAGACAGGAACTAATATACACAAGATAATAAGGAACTCAGGTGCAAGGAATCATAAGGCAATCAAACTAAACAAGAACAGGAAAAAGACCATATAAGGAAAACCCTGGAAGAACTACGGGGGCAAGAAGAGTCCAAAAGTCTTGACAGGTGGTGCGTCCTCGCACCGTAGATACAACAGAGGGAGGGATCGGTGGGAACTTGGGAGGAGGCTCAGGAGGAGGACGGACACCCGGGAGGGGTCCATGGGGGTGACGAAGGAGAGAGGAGCCAGGGAAGAAACAGGAGGGGCTTGCAGCAGGAGGAGCCAAGCTAGACCCAGGCCACAGCCCTAAACGGTAGCCCATGGCAGAGCCAATGGAGGGAGGAGCCATGGACGAGGAATGGCCGCCGACTCCAGGGGGCCGACCGGCGGCGGAGCAGGTGGTGGAGGAGCCCGAGGCGGAGACGGAGAGCCAACGAGCCAGGGGGATGCCGATGATCCGGGGGGCCAGGGTGGAGCCGAGGGCTCTGGCCACCGAGGCGGAGATCCGGAGATCCGCGGCGGAGCCGGAGTGACTGAGGACCAAGGTGGAGCTGGTGGGAGGAAGAAGCCCAACGGAGCCGGTGGGACGGAGCGACGAGTCCAGAGGTGATGGTGGGTCGATGCCCGACCAAGGCGGAGCCGGAGGGACGAGGGAGCCCAGTGGAGCTGGTGGATTGACGGGCGACTGTGGAGGTGAGGGAGCTAGGAGCCGAGGTGGAGCCACTGGGTCTACGGGCCGAGGCGGAGTCCGGGCCTCGGAGGCTGGTGGTGGAGGTGAGGGATTCTCCAGACATGGCGACGATGGAGGATGGCAGACTCGCGGAGCTCGCACCGTATAGATGGTGGGCTGAGGGCGAGCAGAGGGGCTGCCAGACGACAGTGGTGGAGGAGGCAGGAGCGGGCGGGTGGCTGGGCATACGTGAGCCTCCAGGCTCTCAGGGCTGCCCTCCAGAATCAAAGCCCACTCCTGGCTGGACTTGGGGACAGGAGATGAAGGAGGGCCAGACGGGACCAGCAGGGACGAAGGAGAGAGGAGAGGGGAACAGTCGGTCTCCAGATCTGTTTCCCAGTCAATAAGGTCCCCCTCTACGTCCAGCAGTCCCAGATGCACAATAAGCTCACCCTCAGCCGTGGTGCAGTGGGCGGAGGTCCACTCCGTGCTCTCACCGTCCATGGCTTGTTCCCTCGTGGCGGGCGTGGTCGCCGGCTCTCGCACCTGCTCCGATGGAATGGGCTCTGCATCCGGGGCGATCCTCCGCTCAGTCGCTCTGTACTGCGCTGGCTCGTTAATCACGGCGGGAATTGGCTCTCCGTCCTTGGTGGGCTCGGGCTTGTGCTCCTCGCAGCGGGGAGATGGTGGGCTGGGCTCTGGGTCTGGAGTGGATCTGGCGAGATCATCTTCGGGAGAGACGGTGAGGGGCGATCCGTTTCTCGCCAGAATCCACTCCACAAATGCGGCGAAGTTCTCTCGAGGACCATCTTCGGAAGACAGCGCTCTGCACTCAATGTTTAGTCTGGCGTCGTAGAACGCACAGAGCGTGTCGTCCGGGTAGCTGGTGGTGTTTGCTAGCAGCAGGAACAGTCTAGTATGGTCCACGATAGTTTTGTCCCCCTGTTCCAGCAGGAGGAGGAGGTATTCGGGCCAAAGAAGGGCATCCATCCAGGGAACACAATGGAAAAAAAAGACACTGGGAAAACGAGAAAACAAACGGAGGGGAAAACACAGAGGTGACCGTCTTGGTCAGGTCTTGCAACTTGCTGAATAACAGTATTAATTAATTTAAAAAACAGACCCCAAACTTTTGAAAGGTAGTGTGGACCTCAGAGGAAAAAAAATGTATGACTCGACCCCCTTTAATTCACATTGGCAAGGGGTGTTCAATGTTCAATGCAAGTTAAGCTCTATTGAAAGAATCTGTGGCTATTGATTACCAAAGGAAATCTTTTTAAATCATCCATCAGTTTATAACAAACAGAATTAAACCTCAATGAATGTTAAAGACAATGTTACATATGACATATATGTATTTTATCATTAACACAGATCTGTGTTCAAATTTTTCACTTATTTGTCAGAAAACAAGCATAAGCAATCTATCATTTATGGGCCTAACTTTTTGTGATTTCTTTTACTCGTGTTCCCAGAACGTGTTCATCGCTGTGATTATAGAAACATTTGCTGAGATCAGAGTGCAGTTCCAGCAGATGTGGGGGTCCCGGAGCAGCACCACGTCAACAGCTACTACACAGGTAACCAAACACACCTACGCACATGTGCAAAAAAAGCAAGCTTTGGTGTATGATTCATTTCCCACATTTTTTTATCTCTTTCATCAATATGTATGGGCAGATGAACTTGAACCAACTAAAGCAAAAATATAAAAACATTCAATATCAGCATTTATGATTATGAAGCACAGACCAATACACACCAACACAGACATCTGAAGGAATTCTTCCCATAATTCCCTAGTGGCTGTGAGTCTGGCTTCTCTGGCCTTCAGCAGGCAGGATACACCCAACAGCAAGCTGTTTTTTAAAATAAATTTGGCTGCTTGTCAGGTGGGGGCCCAGAACGGCACAGAGCGATCTGATTGGGCGGCTGGCAGACTCAAGGGTGAGTCATAGAGGAACGTTGCTGAAAGTGCAACAGACCGAAAGAGAGGAAAAGACAGAGTGTGTGAGTGTGTGTGAGTGTGTGTGTGTGTGTGTGTGTGTGTTTGCAGTTCTGTCATTTAGCCTAAATTTGATGTGACTGATCAACTTAAAGGATAGAGAGAATCAATTAACCCTAAATGCTCTTGCTTTCATGCCTGCAGTCCTCTCCTGTGGGGAAACCTGTCCTGTTGATTTTATATAACCATCACCTACATAATGTTTGGTGTGAGAAATTCACACTAACCAAGCTAATGGTGCAAATGCACAGAAAATCTGGAGTGGGGGCGTGGTGTGAAAAGTTGTGTGTGTAATTGTGTGAACTGAGGCATAGTGTCTCCCTGACTGCGCCAGTCACAGTACCAGAGCCAATCCTGGAGCAGAGCCTTAGAGGTTGGCATGAGTGAAGCTGGCAACACTTTTGGCAGCACAGGAGTGACCTGACCACCATTATTAAAGTCTTATGCCTGTAGAAGTGCCCTCTGGGTAAAAGAAGGGCTATAGCACACAACATTTCTTCCAGCACTGCTTTAAAGGGTTAGTTCACTCAAAAATGAAAATTCTGTCATTAATTACTCACCCTCATGTTGTTTCAAACCCATAAGACCTTCGTTCATCTTCGGAACACAAATTAAGATAGTTTTGATGGAATCTGCAGCCCTCTACGAACACCTTGGCAATTGAATCGCCATTGGCTAGTAAATTTTTTTGTTTACTCGCCAGACTGATAAATATATACATACACATATACATATACATATATACAAACACACACACACATATATACACATACACACACACATACACACACACACACACACACACATACACATACACATACATATACACATACACACACACATATACACATATATACACACACACATACACATATACACACACACACACACACACACACACATACATATACACACATACACATACATACACATAAACATATACACATACACACACATATATATATACATGTATATACACACACACACACATATGTTTTTATATTATTATATTTTATAGAACCATACTGTTAAAACATGTCACATGGAGAATCTGAGAGCTGTCTGACCCTGCATAGACAGCAATACAACTGAAATGTTCCCAAGTCCAGAGACGTAGCAAGGAGAACTGTAAAATAATCCATGTGACATCAGTGGTTCAACTGTAATTTTACGAAGCTACGAGAATACTTTTTGTGCGCAAAAAAACAAAAAACAAAACTTTATTAAACAATTCGTCTCCTCTGCATTATCCTGTTGTGCCATTTTGGAGAGTATCAGCTGGACGTAAATAACGTATGCTGTTCTGTGTCAGCTGCACCACGCCGGATCTGTTTCCTAGGTTGTTGGGATTTGATCTGAACGGAAACAGTGTATCCGTGTGACGCAGCTGACACAGAACAGCATACATTGTTTACGTCCAGCTGATACTCTCCAAATTGGCGCTACAGGGTGATGCGAATTGTTGAATAAAGTCGTTTTTTTTTCTTTTGCGCACAAAAAGTATTCTCGTAGCTTCTTAAAATTACGGTTGAACCCCTGATGTCACATGGATTATTTTACTGATCTCCTTGCTACGTCTCTGGACTTGGGAACATTTCAGTTGTATTGCTGTCTATGCAGGGTCAGACAGCTCTCAGATTCCATCAAAAATATCTTAATTTGTGTTCTGAAGGTCTTACGGGTTCGAAACGACATGAGAGTGAGTAATTAATGACAGAATTTTCATTTTTGGGTGAACCTATCCCTTTAATGGAGTAAATTTCAGAAATATTTGATGCGTGTGACCTCAAAATGAAACTTAACAAAAACAAATTATGAAGAAAACAAAGGATCCCTGAAATTGTCATTACTGTAATCCAAAAAAATATATAATTCTTTTTCATTTTTTGTGAAAGATGTCTCTTATGCTTTTCATGGCTACATTTATTTATTCGATCAAAAATACAGTAAAAACAATAATATTGTGAAATATGTTTGTGTTTTTTGTTTTCTATTTTATATACAATATACAAACATTTATATATACACTATATGGACAAAAGTATTGGGACACATGTCTTAATTTTTGAATAACTATTAATTATTAAATTCAGTTGTTTCAATCTGTCCCATTACTACAGGTGTAAAGTGAAAGCGTTTAGGAGCAGCAGCAGCTTACTCTCACAGAGTGCTGAGGCGCATGGTGCGTAAAAGTTGCTAACGCTCTGCTGATTCCATAGCTTCAAACTTCCACTGGCATTAAAATCAGCACAAAACTGTGTGGCTGGAGCTTCATGGAATAGGTTTCCATGACCGAGCAGCCACATGTAAGCCTCACATCGCCAAGTGTAAGAAAGTAATGTAAAGCACGCCACCACTGGACTCTGGAGCAGTGAAAACATGTTCTGTGGAGGGACGAATCACGCTTCTCTTTTTGACAGTCTGATTGGCTAGTCTGGGTTTGGCGGAAGCTATGAGAATGTTATATACAGTATATTGTATAGTAAAAAAAAAAAAATGAATAAGAAATGATAATAGTATGGCCATATGGCCACAGATTCTTAAAATGGAATACAGGTAAAGCTTTCCAAAAGCGATAAGGCATATCTCACTTTGAGGACACAAAGTTGAATTGTCCATTGCCATTTGGTCCATTGCCATTTATGAAACTTTTAATCGATTCCATATCTGTAATGTCTGCAGCAAAAACAGTATATATAGTCTTTTGCTCTTGGTCTAAGAAAGGCTATTCTAAGGGGCCGACACTTCACAGGGAGAAATAGCTAAGGAATGTGTGAAAGTTAATTTGCCCTGTCTTTTTCTAACCATTTGTTGTTGTTTTTTAAAAAAAGGATTTTTACAAAAATTTTACATTGGTACTGAGATAATAACTTTTTACACTTAGCTCTGGGTAAGAGGTAAAAAATGTTAACTGTTGACTGTAGTGAAGAGGTTATGTAATGTTTGTACAATTACATTAAGCAATGTAATTAAAGGTGCAGTAGGAGATCTTGGAAAATGCTAACTTTAGCCTGATAGCACTGAAAGCGAACGTCCCACCCTCCCTGCAATCACCGTCCAAAGCCACGCCCCCTGAACGCATAAACGCTCACAGACCTCGAATACCAGAGACATCATTACTACAATAGGCTACATCAGTGGTTCCCAATTCCAGTCCTAGCTCGATTAATTTACAGAGGTATATTATGTCACATTTCACACTTCTCTAGTAAGTTTCGTCTGTTTGTGAAGACGCTGCGCAGCGCAGATATGAACACTGCAGAGAGACATGCAAAATATGCGGCGGCGTTGGCTGGCGGGCGCGCGCGCGGGCATGGAATTGGGAACCGCTGGGCTACATCATGTGCCATTCACCGGTGAGAAAACTTTATAGTACAGTTAGTAAAAGTACTACAATACCAGGAAGGAAGATCGGGTTGTTGATGTTTGTCTGCCATTCTCGCTCTGTCTGCACAGTGTGCGTGAACGCGCTGATGACGTATCCTGTCTGTGCGAACCGGGTGCGCAGAGGTATGCCAATACATACGTTGACAGACAGGTAGGAAAGCTAATTAAAATGCTCCGACCGAGCGTTTTGATTGGACGGACATTTCTTGGTCCTACGCCTTCCACAGAATATATAAATACAGATACATACATTTAGACCACTTAACTTAATGATTGCTATCGGGACTTTCAACCAGCATAACAAAAAATGTTTCTGAAGACAATCACCTATTGCACCTTTAATCCCATAAATATGCAAATAAGAACGATAACCCAGGGTTTATATATCTAAAGTGTGAAATGTCAAACCCTGACTACCCAGGATTAAAAATTACCCTGAGTTAACAAATTAAAGTGTGAAAAGCCCAATAAGGCTCTTTGAATTTGCCCATTAAACTATAGACAGTGCTATGACCTTGAAAACAAAATAGCCTTTCTGTGTCTTCATTTTAATTACGCTGAAATGTCTTATTGAAGAAAAATCTCATAAGGTACATAAAACCTTGGTTTATTGAGTGTTAGACAATATGACTTGGAATGATGCCTTTAATCTGAAAGAAGTAAAAAGAAAATAAGGTTCTCCTGGGGCCTGATGATACTCTTTGGCAAGATTTGCACCATCCCTTTTGTGACTGTCTTATAAAAAATAATATAATTCAGTAAGGCCCCTTAAGAAGATTACCACATGAAAGTTATAATTACAAGACTATGAGGGGAAACTTTTAAAATATCTATTTATGTAGGTAACCTTTTTAATCTGTTAGAGCTGAAGGGGCATTATCAGCTTAATGACTGTCATTTCTCATGGGTTTAATTGGTTATCTATTCTTCTGAACTGATAAAAGACAGACATAAGTGGAACAGCAGCAGTGCACATTAGGAACAGCCATAAGCACACTTTCACTTCTGCTGAGGGGTGGGGATGTGAACAATGGGAGGGGGGCACAAAATGCGGTCTGAAGCATGATATATATTAGGAAAATATACGGCAACATTTAATATGGGGCATAGGAATGCATGTCATGTAACTCATCCCACACCTTTTGTACTGTGACCAATAATAATACATAGAATTATGTTGTTTGTTGAGGAGGAGAGGTGGGCTATTAGTTTTCTAAACAATCAGTTTTATTTAGATTTTCACATGGTGGACAATAAAAAGGCTTCAAGTACAGAGCCGTCTGACAGTTCTGGGCTGTGTATGGATATGAGTAGCCTTTGTTGGTTACCAGATTCAAGGTGCCTGCTGTAACATTGCCTCCCTCCTCTAGTCACTGCTGTCTCCGCTGCTGTCTCCTCGTATCTGTCATGGTGAAGTCATGGTGCATTTAGATTCTGAAATGTGAATAGATGCTCGCTGGATCATGAAGCCAATTTCTTGTGACCTTGCCTATGTTTATAAAATGGTAATAAAGTTGGTGGAGAATTCCGTTGAATATCATGTAATTGCCAGTTGTTTTCAAGATTGGTCAGCTGTCAGTTGTCAGTTGTCTCCGAAGCCAATGATTTTTTGTTTTTGTTTGTTTGTTTTGTTTTCCCTAAATTATTTGTTATCAAATATGTATTTCAATGGCATTTAGATTTGTGTGTGTGTGTGTGTGTATGTATTAACAAAAACTGCTAATCATTCACAATTGTTAACAAATTGCCCTCTCTTTCTCCTTCCTTTTCCTCTCTTTCCTTCTCTCCTGCTGGTGGCAGATGTTTCACGAGGATGCGTCTGGAGGATGGCAGCTCGTGGCAGTCGACGTGAATAAACCACATGGCCGGGCGCCTGCTTGCCTCCAGGTACCAGACATGCAATTTAATGGCACTGACACCCCTGACCATCAGCACACCCTCAGTATTGCTTGACTGCCACATCTAATGCCACACTACTGTGCAGGAGTACAAGAAATGTGCTGCAGGTGGCCTGAACGCAATAGCCACATTTAGATTTTGCTCAAACTAGCTGGTATGATTTTGACAGAGTATGAATAGACTGGAATGAACACAGCAAAGTTTGCCTTCCCCTCTTTTGTGAGCCCAATTTAGCACATGCACATTACACAAACTAACATACCCACATATGTGGATCATTCTTATCCTAAATATCTCTTCAGAAGCACAAGAGTTTGTTGTTTTTTTTTCTTTCCTATTTTACTTTAAATCAACATTGATTCATGAAGTCAATACTGATCCCATTTACTTAACATTTACCATGTTCCTGGTCTTGTTCTGCACGATTTTCAGTACGTTACTCCAAAGAAAAAGGATTGCAAATATAATTTCAGACTGACTTTAATAGACAAAAACTTAAATGGCTTATTATCTTGAAACAGTGTGCCAATGTCGTTTTTTTATGCATTTTGACACTGATATTGCAGAGAAATTATGAATTGGGTTTGAATGGTCATAGAATAGAGTGGGCTTTTGATGGCTGATAATACCATAATAACAGAAAGGACAGCATCTGGAGAGGGTGTAATGGCACTTACCTTTAAAAACCAGTCCTGACTTTTAGATCTGCCTACACAGAGGGAGAGAGATCTTCAGTGAAAATAGGTCCTCAACAGAGTCACATAGAAGTTAATATCCAAAAATACATTATAATGCATCACATTTGGGTTAAGATTTGACAGTGTAATCCTGGTGAAAAGCTTGCATTTCATTCTAACATGGCTTTTCAACTGTAGAGTAGGGAGCATTTGAAAATATTCAGTGCAAGTAAAAAAGACCAAAGACTGGCATTTAATGACATTTCTGGGACCAAGTTTCTATGAGGTGAGCCCATCAGGTAAAGGAAAGCTTTTGTATTTCCTCAGAGAGGGGCAAAGGTTACAGGGGGTTGGGTGGGGTGAGCAAGATAATGTAATAATGTAATAATCTTAATGTCATAACTCAGCAGTATAGATTAATGTTTGTTTGTATGTTTCTGGTGTTGGCAGGCTCTAGCTTGTTCTTTCTGATATATTTAAACTGGAAGCAGTGGCTATTCTGTATTTGGTTGTGTTTCATTATATGGTTAAGGTTAATGAGGTCTGCTTGATCTCTTCTCCAAAGGCCACCTTGGTGTTAATTAGGCCTTTGCATTTACTTATGTTATAATTGCACTACAGCTATTCTCATGAATTCTTTAAGTTCTTCAAGTACAAGATTTCTTGTCTCGAGTTTTGCACTTGTTCTGACTGCAAACTTTTTTATATAAGTTTCAATTCAGACTCTAGGTATGAATGTCTAAAAAATAATATGTTTCAGTGGAGTTTAAATCCTGACCTTTACAATAGGGGATTTGCAGTTTTACTTTAATAGCATAACAATCAGTTGAGTCTGCATATTACTTTACGTACTTTTTTTTCAGGCTGTGACAATAGTCCTTGATAGGACTATATATATATATTTTTTTTAATATGTTTTTTTTTTTATTGGAGTACACAAAAGCTGGACTTTTTGCTTTAAATTCAGTCTAGCTTAAAGGGACAGTTCACCCAAAAAAATTATTTCTGTCATAATTTACTGATCTTCACATTGTTCAGAACATGCATGATTTTTTTCTTCTTCTCTAAAATACAAAAGGAGATGTTTAACAATGTTCATGCTGCTCATTTTCATACCAAGAACATATATGGTAAAGAGCAGCATAAAAGTGGTGCAAATGCCTTGTGTGCAATATTTGTGTCACGCTCACTCTGGGAAGGAACGAGGAGACAAGGCGTAAACAAACAATAGTCTTTTAATCCAACATCCAAGGGAATACACGGGGCAGACAGGAGCACAGGTAACACCAGGGTTGATGTACAATCTCGGACAAAGACAGACAGCACAGACTCGAACTTAAATGCAAGGGGATAAATAACAAACACAGGTGAACTGAATGGCTAATTAAACTAAACGAGGACAGGAAAAAGACCATATAAGGAACACCAGGAACAAAGACGGGGCAAAACACAACTAAACAGGTCCATAATCCTGACAATTTGTGTGCACAAGTAATTTTCCAAGCAATGAAATTGAATGGGGTCTAAAGCTTTCAAGCTTTAAAAGGACACAAAACCACCATAAAAAAATTGGTCCATACGAATTGTGTCCCATTTTCTAAGTAATACTGTACAGTAGGTTTGTGTCAGAAACAATCAGTACAGTTTGTGAACAGTCATCCGGACTGGTTTTGTGAACCAAATTAACCAATTCTTTGTAAAGATAAAAAACAAACAATCAAACAAACACAATTTGTTTATAAATTAATTTGTTTGCTACCTTTCTCTTGAACAGTTTTAAGCTAGGACAGATGTCAGGTTTTCAGTGAATAATGTCTCGGTTTTGTATGGTAACCCTCATTCCCTGATGGAGGGAATGGAGACGTTGTGTCGAATTTCTGACATTAGGGGTAGCACTTGGGAGCCCAGACACCTCTGACATCACTGAGAAAAGACCAATGAAATTGGCAAGCAAAATTTGCATAGTTGGCCAAAATCTGGTAGAGGCGCCATATACTGTAAGGCAGCGGTCACCTCCAGCGGGAGCTATTTCTCATTTTAAGAAAAACAAGAATAAATAGCGGTTAAAAAGTCCCCAAGTGGGAAAAGTACACTACAGAGACCACATCCTACCCGAAGGGGAGGTAACATGTGGAGATATATCCTATGGACTCACTGAAAGGAAGTACTACATAGGGAAGGTTTCTGTGGTGGGCTCCACATAAAGGGAGAAATATCAAGCACAGAAACAAGGCATGTTGTAAACACACACAAATCCATCTGTGAAGATCTTTTAGAGAAATTGCTTTTTTAAGAGGAAATTTGCTCTCAAAGATCGCTGTTGAAGCACCCAGGGGTGTATGGGCAAGGGAGAAACTACTGCTTGTGCCATTGATCCAACAACGAGGAGATTGAGAGGTGAATGCAGTGCTGCACCTCCCAAAGAGACACTGCATCGGCGCCAAAGAACAGAAGGAGTGAGCAAATGCCACACTGGCCTATTTATACCTGGATGTCCGGGACGTGGTCTGCTATGCAAATTTTGTTTGCCAATTTCATTGGCCTTTTCTCAATGATGTCAGAGGCATCTGGGCTCCCAAATGCGACCCCTAGTGTCCGAACTTCGACATAACGTCGAAGTGACCGACTGAAAGGGAACTTACATTTCTCAGGGAAAGATATTGTATGACTTCAGAAGGAAAAAAAGGATCAATGTTATAATACTTTTATGCTTTAGCATCCCTTTTAAGCTTGAAAGCATCAGTCTTCATTTAATGTCATGTAAAAGATCAACCAGCACATATTTCAGACTTTCTTCCTATGTGTTCCACAGAAAAAAAGAAGTTCATATGAATTTGGAATGACAAATGGGTGAGTAAAAGATGACAGTTTTTTGGGGAATTATTCCTTTAAGAATGAGTAAATGTTTGGTCAAATGCCATTGACGTGCACTGAATGATAAAGAAATGTTATTCCCTTTGAGTTGTTGCTGGCTTTGATTCTGGCACAGAACTGATGAAGTATGACAGGCACCTTACTGTAAAGAACACTAATTGTGTGTCAGATGACAGGTGTAAAGTCTGAAGTTTCAAACATGCAAGGAGGAACAGTAACAAGATGCTCTGAATGTCTTTTTGGAGGAAGATTTGGAGCATACAAATTGGGCTGCATCAAATGCAATGAAATAGAGAGAAAGGTGCATCCCGCCCTCACAAAGGTTGCTATTTAATTGATTGCGACAGCTCTGCTAGGTATTCATGTGGCACAAGCAACATTAGAACCATCTTGAGTGCAATGACAGTGTTGTTTTTATGTTCTCCATACAAGAGAAATAGGCGTCACATCACAGACAAATTTTGTAGGAGACAATGGATGAATTGCACAAGCAAGCTTTCAAACCCTGCAATAAAATATGCCTTTCAGAAAGCCAAGAACATTTTCTGGGTGAAGTCAAGGGCCCTGAGAAAATGGAGTAACCTGTTAGACCCCCTTCAGCCAAAACACCCTAAGGAAAACCAACATCGAGAAGCTGAAAATGTCAAACTGCTTTGTCATGTCCCATATTAGTCATAGAGGCTGCTTGGTGAATTCTCAGCTGTGTTCCCAGACCAGAGCAGCAGACAGACCTGACAGCCACTGTCCTTCTCTCATCTTTCTCCCTCGAGATATACTGTAAAACACTAGCTACATTTCCTGGAGCTCTACAAGCCCTTTATGCATTAACAGTAATATACCTACACTACTGTTCAAAAGTATCTAATAATAATAATAATAATAATAATAATAATAATAATAAGTTAGTCCTTTATTCAGGAAGGATGCATTAAATTGATCAATATTTTTGCATAGTTACAGAACATATGGGTTTTGTCACCCTTTTAGTTGTTATTGACACCTTTTTTCTGTGTTTTCCGTCTTCTGTTTTGTTTTAGTTCCTGTGTGCCCTTATTTGGTTATGTTCCTGATCTCGTTTAGCCTCATTAGTTTACCTCGAATCACCTGTGTTTAGTTAATTATCCTGATATGTCTTTGTATTTAAGTTGTTCGGTCATGTTATACTAAGTTGTGTTTTCTCTTGCGTATCTGCCTAATGCCGAGTTCACACTGCATGATTTTAGCCCGATTTTTCACTCGCCGACAGGTTTTGCGAAATCGCCGACAAATGCCCGAAATCGGAGGCAAATCGGTGCTCGTTCACGCGAGTGACAATCACGCAGTGTGAATTATCAAAGACGCGATCTGAGAGAATCGCCGACACCCGTGAAATATTTGGCATGCTAAATATATGGAGCTGTCGGCGATTCACAATCACACTGTGTGAAATGAGTTCTG